ACTGTAGATGACACCTGGATTTTCGTAGCAACAGCGTTGTTATTCATCGACAGCGAGCGAAAATTCCTTTCCATATATACCTTTGATATATTTTCATGAAGCTAAAGAACGAATCAGGGTACCACAGGAAGAAATTCAAGATATCTCAAATGAGCTGACAACAACCCTAATAGAACTAAAAACGAAGTTTCCATCTAGCTTTAGAAGAGATCGGCAATCGCGCAGTAATAAACACAACGGAATTAGGGGAGAAGCGTTTACAGCAGAGCGCATACTTGCTTCTTGCAAAACTCACCTCAAGAGAGCTTGCTGGAAAGGTGTTTGATGAAATCAAAAATAACAATAGTTTCACAAGTATCGCAACCATCGATGCTGAAATAACCGGGAAATTGGTCAGCCATCGTCATCTCTACTCTCTGCTATGGCTGCTAGAAAAATGGTATTTCTGACGACTGAGTCTGCGAATAAGGCAGAAATAAATATTTTGTCGGCACAAGATACGACAAGCCCTGGGCCTTAGACCCGAGCATCATGGGTAATGATGCAGTGGTGTATAAGGGAGAGTATAGCACGTGATGTCCATCTAGGTCTCAGAACCAACCGTCCACCCCTGACTGATGACAAATTTATTTTAGTTGGAAAACTTATTTTGTTTAACTGTGAAGCCTCGTGGGATGGGCTGCTAACTGCTCTGAGTTTGGGCCATGGTTCCTGCCCAGATTTCCTGTCATATTTTTTCCCAAAGGGGTTTTTTCTGGCCTCCATATAACCGTATAGTAATGTCCTTTAATTTTAGCGGTTGCCCATCTATGTTAATCCCGACTTGGTGAAGTTTACATGTAAGTAATGTATAGTTATTTTTGAATGTGTAGGGAGTTGACTGTATATCAGGATTGTGTATGGTATATCAGTTGCGAATGTATGCATGTATGTATGCCTCGGGCTATATATGCTTCGGGTTGGTTCTCGGCAGGCTTCCCTAATAAACCTATTTGGTTTACATTGCTGTGTAATTTGTTGTGTAGAGGAGAATAAATAGGCATTTTAAATACAAACTTTCCTGTAACATGCAGCTAATAGTAGCCAGTTTAAACGAAAAAAGCAGTGAAGAGTCAAGCTCGGACGACGACTCTGCTAAGAAATCGGACGAGGAGGTTATCGAAGGGTATTAATTTGTATAGTTTTGTAAAGGGTGGCGGTTAGTTATGCAATCTTTCAAAATGTCCACACACAACCCGGCTGTGCACTATTCTTTGAGCCCTAAAACATCGACATATTTCTGTTACCATTACCAACGTGTTTT